GTTCGTGCTATCTTTGTACTGCAATACGGACGGCGGCGACGAGTTGGCCACGACGCGGCGACGGGGCGGCGACGGCGACCACATAGCCGCCAGACCGGCCAATTGGCCAACGCGAAGGGCGGTGACGTAGCGGCGATGGGGCGGCGACGGCGACCACATAGCCGACAGATCGGCCACACGGCCCACACGACGGCCAGCGACGAGGCGGCGACGGGGCGGCGACGGCGATTACGTAGCCGCCAGAGTGGCCACACGGCCCGGACGACGGGCGGCGACGAGGCGGCGATGGCGACCACATAGCCGCCAAACCAGTCGCATGGCCCAGTTCAGTAGAGCAGCAGCACGAACCCTTCCGTGCAAGCGTAGCTTTGGGAATGAGCGTGCTGGATCGGCGCTGGGCCCCCCCGACGGCGCCTTCGACGCCGCCGCCTTGCGCGTTCTGCGCGGATTGCTTCTATCTGCGCCGGAGGCGCCCCCTGGCGGCGCCTCCGGCGCCCCCTTGGCGCGCTCCGCGCGCCACGGAGGGGGATTTGGCGCAGAACCAGGAGATCTGCCTGGAGTTACGACGGTTTGTTTGTGTAGCTTTTCTTCTTCCCCTGAGCCACACGGTGTCCCTTAGAGAGCCCGTGTGCCCCACCCTGACAAGTCCGGCGTCGCGATGTAAGGACAAGGTGAAGCATCACGACTTGCCCCAAAGCCCATTTTCTGATGCAGTCTGTGGCTGGATACAAAACGGGGCGAACATGCCTCCCTCCTCCCCCCTTGATCCCCATCCTCTTCTCCCTCCTGCTACTCCCCCGTCCTCCCTCCCCTCTTTCATCCTCCTCTTCCTGTCCCTTTTTCATGCTGTCCGTCTCGCTTCCGTCGGATGTTGTGCAGCATTATTAGCATACGTGATACTACCTTCCTCCCCAAGCAGTGCAGACGCCCCTTGAAGTTCAGTGTCGAGATGTCGGCCTCCGCCCATCCCGCTACCCTCCCTGGGTTGTGCGCAAGATGTCACCGGGATGCATCTTGAAGCCGGTTGCGGGCCTTTTGGAGGCATGTTGCTGGAGGGCCTTGGGGGGGCCTCTTTGGAACGAGCTTGCTGTCTCTGGACTGCGCTCGAGGTGGCGGGCCCAGAATGACAGTTCGAGGTCCTTTTCTCGGGCCATCGTGGGAGTTGGACGCCTCGAAGGCCTGTTTGGGCAGATCTTAGGTGCCAATTCGGCCGCTTTGGACCTGCTTGCAAAAACAGCTCAATATTATAAATATATACCATCCTCCGTTTGTCAAGGATGTGAGCTTTCGGTGTCGGCAACCATGGCCTCGCAACCGAGGAGCACTGAAGTGCGACGAGTAGCGCCGAGGGATTCCGTCAATCCTGGGTCTGGGGCTAAACAAAACACAATGCCCAGTCCTGAAATCGAGGGTACTTCATTCAGGGCTTCGCGGCACAGTGGTTGATGTTCTGCTCATTGCTTTTCACACCCGAGGCCAGGAACTGTGTGGAGATGCCTGCTTCAAGGCCCTGTGGCGCTGCCAGGAGCATGCCTGGAGCTGCCTGTGGGGTGGGGTGCGGGCCCACAAAGCACAGGATTGCATTGGCCCTGGAGCTTCGCCTTGCGCCCGAGCAGATGTTCCCTGCCCCCGACGAAGGCATCTATACACCACCACCGTGCCAGGCCAGGGACATCCTGGGCCCCAGGATGGTGTATAGACCCTCCTGGCGTATACACCATGCCAGGGCCAGGATGGCCCTGGCCTGACACTATGTGGTGTATAGATGCCTTCTGCGTGTTGTCCCCAGCGTTCAAGCCCCCAAGAATCTGACTGCACAAGCCAGCGCTGACCGTGCAGCACATGAGAGCCGCACCAGCCAGCCCGAATGAGCCAGCGAGCAGGAGATGTGCGTTCTGCCCATTGCGGCTGGAGGAGCGCGACCTCCCTTGGAGTGCGGTGCCGCACCCATGACAGCCCGCGACCACCGCGACCGCTCGCAGGCAGCTGGCATTTGGAGCTGCCTCCTTGCGTTCTTGACTCCTCGGCGAGCGAGGGGGGAAATGAGAAGGAGCAGGCCTGCTCAGGAGGCTCGGAAGTCCCCTGGCCTTCTGAGAAGTTGCTTGAGCCTTCCCCAAAGACGCCTAAATACCTCGCGGAAGGCGCGACGGCTTCTGAGAAGTGCCGCCGCCTTCTGGGAAGGCCTCTTCCTTCTCTCGCCCCCCCCGTCGCTCGCCGCCGATGCCGATCAACGCGCCACGACATCCCTGCTGCCGTCACTGCCTCTCGTCAGTGTGCGGGCGGTCCGCCGCTGGAGTTTGGGCGTCTTGCCCGGCCCAGCCGTTGCGGATTCGGGTGGCACTCGGCGGTTGCACACACGCCGTCTCCTCGAGCGCGGCACCTTAGCACCGTCTTGGCACGATCTCATCTGAACTTTGGACGAGAGGTGGAGGGTTGCTGGGAGGCGCAGTACGGTTATCGCTCTCCTGGGAGGTGCTGGCCAATTACCGTATTTCAGTCGTTGCCTCCTCTTCCTACCTTGAGACCGCGTGCTGGGCTCTGCTCGGTCAAGAGCGTGGCCAACCAAGTCCAGAACAGGGACGGCCACGCTTGCGTCTCTCCCTCTTCGCCTTGTTTCATACTAGATATGCCCTGGACATTCTTGTTGAATCGTTTTCGGCTCGGCCTCTTGGACACCTGGTGTTTTAGCGTTATCAGGTCTCAACAGGAGAACCGAAAATGCGTAACAAAGAAATGCTTAGTTTTTTTTCGTCGCTGTCATGTCTTCGGTGTTTCATCGTCGGAGCCCGCCGCGGACGGGCCGTTGGCTTCGAGGCCTGTTTCGCACTGGTGTCAGACTGGTGCGAGAGTGTTTTTTTTGCTTCATCAGTTTAAGCTTTGCACACGGGAACTTTTTCAGCCCCCGCCCCATACAGAAAACGCGAACCTACAATTATAAAACGTTAGAACGATGAAGCGTTGTTTTAGCGTTCTCAGGTTGTCAAGATCCACAGTAGAAGCATACAAAAGAAAACAAACGCCCAGGGCGTTTTCAGGATTCACCAAGCTCTCCGGCCCATCATTATCTATAGATCCTGGAGTTGTTGGTTCGATGCCGCTGCAACTGGTTCCACGCACTGCGACGCTTTCGAGCCCTACCCCTACGGGTTCAATCGAGGCTGGGTTCTTGGAATCCCCCGCCAGAGTTGGCGTGGCCGCAGCCAACCGTCCAATTCCGAACCCCAGCAGTTCCGTTAGAAATATGACTCACAGGGGTAGGGCTTAGGTACGATCGACATGGCTACGGAAAGACTGGGAGCGAAGATTGGCAGGAGCCCTTGCTCATTGCAAACATGATTTGCAGGCGTTGCCGCCGCGGGCGTTGAACATCTTTGGGGCGGAGCGGAAAAAGTCGTTTGCGCAACAGCGGCCGCTGTCGGTTCTGGACAAAGTAGCATGCAACTCACGGGAGGGAGATTGAGTTTGGAGCCGGCGATGGACATCCGCGGTTGCAGGCCAGGATGTTCCGGCGTAGCCTTGTTTTTTTATGTTCCTGTTCTGCATCGGGCTTAATTTGGGGGGTCCATTCGGGTTTACCTGCCTTGGTGGCCCCTTCGTCAGGCTGGAGATTGTTGTTTATGCTGTGGCGTGTGACGCTCACTACCCAGGCCCCACCCCTGGTATCGTTAACGATCGTGTGAAGAGGGTGGGGGGCTGGACTCCCCCCCCCAGAATCATGATGGGCCTGTTTCCCACCACCACCACCACCATAAGTTGGACGGGGGAAGGAGGTGGAGGACGAGGAGGAGGAAGTGAAGGAGGAGGGGGAGGAGGAGGAGGAGGAGGAGGAGGAGGACCCCCTCCCCCTCCTCCTTCTGGTGGTGGCGGTGGAAAACAACCCCACCAACACATGCTGGTGCTCTTGCGCATACGATGGCGGTTGCAGCGCGCCCCCGCCCCGACGTGCGCCACACCCCCCTCCTCCTCCTCCTCCTCCTCCTCCTCCTCCTCCTCCTCCTCCTCCTCCTCCTCCTCCTCCTCCTCCTGTAAGAACGAGGGCTGACCCCCCCCAAGACTGGGCAACGACCGTTACCAGAAATACGTAGCACCCCGCAGTTGCGGATAAGAGTGAGGGGGCGGCGGGGACGCCGGCAGTCTGCGAGGCTCTGAATAAGCCCGGCGCAGGCGCACAGTTTTTCTAGGGGTGCAACGAGCCCGCCGCGGGCGCCGACTTATTGTTAAAACAATGCAGGTGGGTCGCGGGTTGGGTCGCAGGTGGGTCGCGGGTGAGTCGATGGTGGGTCGCGGGTGGGTTGCGGGCTGGGTCGCAGGCCGGGTGGCGGTTGGGTCGCGGGAGGGTCGCGGGAGGGTCGCGGGTGGGTCGCGAGCGGATCGCGGGCTGATCGTGGGTGGGTCGCGGTTGCGTCGCGGGGTGGGTCGCGGGTGGGTCGCGAGGTGGGTCCCGGGTGGGTCGCGGGCCGGGTCGCGGGGGGGACGACAAAAAACAACAACAAGAACAAGCAGAATCCTCACCACGGATCCGCACTTCAGCCACGCACCCGGGAACAAAGAATGAGCGTTCGGCCCCCTCACTCTGACATAAACATTTTTTTGAACAGTTTTGTACCCCAGGGCTTAGTCGGGCATGTCCCTCTACAAAAGGAGCATCAAACAATAGTCCAAGAATATGGGGGCGATTTTTACACACACACACATATGTATGTATAGACATATACATATATTTGTATATATATATAAACATACATATATAGACACATGTATACATATATCTATATATATATATACATACATACACCTATGTATATATATAAATATGTATACATATATATATATGTACATAAAGAAAAGTTTGTCCATTTTTGAGCTCAGGGGCCCTGCGCAGCCCCACATCACGTTCTCCCAGCGGACGCTGGCTGCAGCCCCCCCGCCCGCCCCATCCGCGCATCCACGCCGGGCGCCGCTCTCGGAGCGCGCGCGCCCCCGGCGGTGCCCCCGCGGAGGGCCCCGCGGCGGGCGGCGCCTGGCCGGCGGCGCCGCGCGGCCTGCGGAGAGGTGAGCGCGGCGGCCAGCGGCGGGTAGCGGTGCAGACAGCTCGGCAGGATCGAAGCGGGTACGGTTAGGATGCTCCAGCCTACTCCAGCCTTGGTCACGAGGAAGAGTCTCGGGCGCCCAAAAGGTACCGAATCTCAAGGGCTTCCACGTGTCGGGCCCACAAGGTACCGAATTTCAGGGTACGGTTAGGATGCTCCAGCCTACTCTAGCCTTGGTCACGAGGAAGAGTCTCGGGCGCCCAAAAGGCACCGAATCTCAAGGGCTTTCACGCGTCGGGCCCACAAGGTACCGAATTTCAGGGTACGGTTAGGATGCTCCAGCCTACTCTAGCCTTGGTCACGAGGAAGACTCTCGGGCGCCCAGAAAAGGTACCGAAACTCAAGGGCTTTCACGTGTCGGGCCCTGGGAGGCACTCGCCCGACACTGTTTCGACACTCTTTTGGCACTTTTCCAGGTGCTCGAAATGATTTCTGGGATGCGGTCTTTAAGTAGGATGGGAACAACAGAAGGGTACGGGGAGAATGTGAACGAAGATTGACAGCCCGGGTTATTGGAACCCGCCAGAGTTGGCGTGGCCGCAGCCAGCCGTCCAATTCCGAACCCCAGCAGTTTTTTTGTTAGAAATATGAGTCACAGGGGCAGGGCTTAGGTACGATCGACATGGCTGCAGAAAGCATGGGACCGAAGATGGACAGGCGCCCCTGCTCATCGCAAACACGACTTGCAGGCGGTGCCGCCGCGGGCGTTGAGCATCTTTGGAGCAGAAAGTCGTTTGCGCAACAGCGGCCGAGGTTATGTGGAGGATGGGCAGAGTCGCACCGAGGTATGAGATCGAGAGGTCGGCTCGGGCAGGATACCCTGGTGTTCTTCGTGCTTGTGGCATGTTCCTCTGCACCCCGAGAAGGGCACCCTCGGATGTGCTGTGTGTTTTGGCCATCGGAGGGTCTCACGTTCTTGGCGGATGTGCGTCTGGCTTAGGTCCGACTGTACGTCAGTCGTGTCGACGGGTGGCGACCCTACCGCCAGCGTTCAACCTTCAACGCCGCTGGCGACTCAGAATCGGTCGATGTCGAACGATTCACAAGGCCAGTCGTTCAAGGTTGAACGATCCCCGCGGTGTCAGGAATCAGCGCCTGGGTCATCACGACACGAACCTGCCGTACGAGGGCCACCAGCAGTTTCCGTTCATTCTGAATAGGATTATTAGTTGTGTCGCCGCGGACGTTGTCCATGTGAAGCAAGGTACCGCCTGCCCAATAGCGGCCGCGGTCGGTTTTTGGACAACATATGCTGCTGGGCATCGTACCCATGTTTCCGTACCTACCCATCTCGGGCGTCCGAAACAGCGAGGGTGTTGCCAGTGGTGTTTTTGGCCCCCCAAGGTTCTTGGAGCAAACCACAGGTTTGGTCTCTGATTCTTCGATCTGGGAGCCTCATGACAACCGACTTGGGTCATCTTGGAGCCCTCTTGGTGTGGCCGAATACCTGGGCTTACCAACCAGTTGGGGTCCGAGCAGACGGGGTCAGAGGATCGCGCCGCATCGACGCTGCATCGGCGATGCCGCTCGATGAGCTGGCCGATCTTCTCCACGCCGACTGCGCCGATGCATCGCCGATGTCGCCGATGCGTTGGTGATGCGGCGCGATCCTCCGACCCCGTCTACTCGGACCCTATCTGGGAGACCTCCAAGCGAGGGTGTCCCCAGGACTTTCGAGGATTCTCGAGGATCTTCAGGTGGCCCTTCCAGGATTCTGGAGGATCTTCGAGGATGTTGGATGTTCGAGGCTTTCCTAGGATCTTCGAGGATGTTCGATGATTTTCGAGGATCTCGGAGACCAGCTGGCCCAAGGTGTCCCCAGGAGTGTCGAGGAGGCCCAGGGGGCCTCCGAAGCGTCCCTTCTCGAGAGACCCAGGGGGCCCCCCCAGGGGGTCCACACAACGGCGCGAGGAGCTGGCTCCCTCCTCCTCCTCCTCCTCCTCCTCCTCCTCCTCCTCCTCCTCCTCCTCCTTCTCCTCCCCCTCCTCCTCCTCCTCCTCCTCCTCCTCCCCCTCCTCCTCCCCCTCCTACTCCTCCTCCTCCTACTCCTCCTCCTCATCTGCCAGGATGATGTCTTCCAGTGCCCGAGCAGCGAGGGTATGAGACCAGCGGTCTGCAGCTCCATCAGCTCGAAGACGAACAGGCTGCATAAGCACAGACGTTGGAGCGGATTTCTGCGGCCGGCACCAGGCTCCTCGGGCGGCGCCCCCAGCGCCGCCCCTGGAGCGATCCGCGCGCCAGGGAGGGGCTTGCAGAGCCTATCTCAGAGATCCGCTCGGATCTGCGGAAGTTTATGTACATACATTCCATTGCCCCTATTTCTAGAGTCTGGGCCCCTGCGGAAAACCGCCCCCCCACCCCGAAGCGGGATCCCCAGCGTCCGGGGTTCCTAGACGCCTTTTCAAAGGGTCCCGCGAGATTGTTGGGCCTTTAGGCCTCGATTCTGTTCGGTCGGTCCCTCCGCCGCTCATGTCTGCTCTGGCCCTGGCTGCGTTTCGGTTTCGGTCCCTCGTCCCCCTCCCCATCATCATCATCATCATCATCATCATCATCATCATCATCATCATCATCATCATCATCATCATCATCATCAGCAGCAGCAGCAGCATCATCATCATCATCATCATCATCAGCATCATCATCATCATCATCATCATCATTATCATCATCAGCATCATCATCATCATCCTCTTCCTCCCTTGTTCCTCCTCCTTTTCCTCCTCCTCCTCCTCCTCCTCCTCCTCCTGCGTCTCCTAGTCTCACTCCTCCTGGCCCCCCACCTCATACAACATCATCATGCCCCTGGTGCTAGGCCTTCTCGTGGTTTGCTTCCTACTTCTCCTCGTTCTCTTCTCTTCATCCTCTCCCTCGTCATCGACCTCCACCTCGTCTTTCTCCTCCTGCTCCTCCTCCTGCTCGCCTTGCTCCTCCTTGTATCCTCGACCTCCTTCTCGTGCTCCTCGTTTCCTCCTCCCCCTCCTCATCCCCCTCCTATTCCGCAGTCTCCTCCTCGGAATGCTCCTCCTCCTCCTTCTCCTCCTCCTCCTCATCCTCATCCTCGCATTCCTCCTCCTCCTCCTCCTCTTCCTCCTCCTCCTCCCCCTCCTCCTTTTCCTCCTCCTCCTCCCCCTCCTCCTCCTCCTCCTCCCCTCATTTTTGTTTGTGTCCTTCTTCCCTCCTCCTCCTCCTCCTCCTCCTCCTCCTCCTCCCTCCTCCTCCTCCTCCTCTCCTCCTCCCCCTCCTCCTCCTCCTCCTCCTCCTCCTCCTCCTCCTCCCCCTCATTCTCCTCATCTTCCTCTGTTTCATCGTACGCCTCCTGCTTGTTTTCCTTATTCCTTGTATGTTTCTCTTTCTCATTGATCCTCCTCTTCTTTGTTTCCTTCGCCATGCCAGGGATGCCTTCGCACTCTCGATGCCAGTTCCAGGAGGTCGTCAGGGATGCCCTCAAACATGTGGCGTGTTTGAGCCTGGTCCCGTCCCCCTTCCCATTATTCCTCTCGCGCAGCATCTCGGAGTTCTTTCTTCCTCTCTGTCTCCTCCCCTATCCTGCCTCATCATCCCTGCCCGCCGCGCCCTGTTCGAGGCATCGGCCCGATTTGCTCCAGCATGGCTCCCACCCGATCAGCCCTTCCAGTTCACCAAGGAGTCGTGCTCGCGCCTCGGCGCCAGCCACCTCCCCCGTCGTGCCAGGGACGCCCAGCACATTTAGAACACAGAAGTGTCATCGAATGGTTCGTCTGCAAGGAACCCGGAGTTGCGAGGATGTCCCAGGCGAGACGCGCCAGCAGCATCTCAGAGCCCCGAATTGTGGAGGATGTCTCAGGCGAGACGGACTGGACCACCTCGCGCGCGACGTCTGGGAGCTCAGAGTTCCGAGGATGTCTCAGGCGGCGCCCAGACCCTTCCCGGAGCACAATTCGACAGCATATGTGTAATCACATGATTCGGTTGAGTCTGATTTCTCTTCACTCTCGGAGCCCAGAGTTTCGAGAATGGGAGCCCCGAGTTGCGAGCATGTCTCAGGCGAACCGGTCTGGACCACCTCGCGTGCGAGATCGGGGAGCTCAGAGTTGCGAGAATGTCTCTGTGGTTTCTTTGGGTCTGACCTCTCCTTCATCATTTCACCTCCCTTTCGGAGCCCAGAGTTTCGAGGATGTCTCAAATGAAACGGCCCAGACCACCTCGCCCGCAGCATCTCGGAGCCCTGATTTACACGGATATCTCAAGCGAAACAGGCCACACACACACACCCTTGCGCACATTTTCTGATATCCCGGAATCCCTGAGTTGCAAGGATATCTCAGGCAAAACGAGCTTGACCACCTCTCGCGAAGCATCTCGGAGCTCATGGGTGCGAGGATGTCTAAAGCGAAACGCGCCAGACCATCTCGCGCACGGCAGCTCGGTCTCAAGCGAAACGCGCCGGACCACCTCGCGCGTGGCAGCTCGGAGCGCAGAGTTGCGAGGGTGTCTCAAGCGAAACGTAGAGTTGCGAGGATGTCGCAAGCGCAACGCGCCAGACCACCTCTCGCGCGGCAGCTCGGAGTGCAGAGTTGCGACGATGTCTCAGGCGAAACGGGCCAGACCACTTTTCGCGCGGCGTCCGAGAGCCTGGACTTTCCAGGGTGTCTTCGGCGGACGGGCCCGGGCCACCTCTCGCACGGCATCTCGGGTCGCAGAGCTTCAAGGCCGTCTCGGGCGAAACGGCCTGGACCACCTCGCGCGTGGCGTCCTGGAGCCCAGATTTTCGAGGGTGTCTTAGGCGAAGCGGCCCACCACCTCTCGCATGGCATCGCGGGGCTTTGAGTTTCGAGGATGTCACAGGCTAAACGGCCCGAGCCACCGCGCGCGCGGCGTCCTGGAGCCCAGAGGTTCGAGGATGTTTCCCAGGCGAAACTGCCACCCCCGGACAACTCAGAAACGGCCCGGACCAGTATTTCTGTTGAGGATGCTTCTGCTTCCCTTTCCCTCGGCCCGAGCTTCTTCCTACCACAAGGGCACCCCGTTCAGCGAGCGGTTTGCAGGAATCAGGAGCATGACCATGACATTATGTGCGCCACCGCCACCGCGCACAGTTTGGTGGCCATTATGCGGGGCAGGTTCAGGAGCGTGAGACGTCCATCGAGTTATGCACACCATGTTTCGGGCGAGGGCCCGCAGACGGTGGTGTGCACACGTGCGGGTCCGAAAGATGCCCACGGCGGGGCCTCACGCTTGTCGTGGAGCTCTGGCGCCGTGCATATCACGGGCCCGGGGGGGCCTTGGCAGTCGCGTGGGGCCCAGTGTGGGTGCCTGTTTTGCGTTTCTCGGTTGGGGCACCGCCCTCTGAGGGCAACTTGGGGCCTTTCAGCATCCTTGGGCACGCTCGAGGTGACCTGCTGGGCCCGGCAGCCAACTTGACTAAGTTGCCGGGGCGCCTCCCCCCCTCCCCCCCCCCCCCCGCAAAAGTAAGAGTTTGGAGAAATTCGTCGCTGCATCCACCAGGTTGAGCGGACGAGGCCGCTTCCCCAGGAGAGAGCCGTGCCAGCAGGTCCGCCCGGAGGGCCGCCGTTCCTCGGGTGCCGGACGCCGGGACGGCACGAGCTCGTGGGGAGATTCTCTCGCCGAGGCCCGTGTCGTCGCCGACGCTTTTTTCAAGCGGGATGATTCCTCGCCAGCACCACCCAGGCAGGTTCGAGACGTGGAAGATGCACGGCGGAATGTTTGGGGCAGGCCTGGGCCTCCGGAGGCCCTCGCCGGGCCCTGGGACCGTCGGAGAGCAGCTCCGTAGAACTGGCCCCTTGGGGGGGAAGGGTCGGCACTTCTGGGGGCCCTGCCTCGGACAGAGTTAAGGCCTCGGATGTCCGGGCCAGGTGCCTTGCCGCAGCGTCCTGCCCCATGCTCGTCTGCGCTGTCTGCGTTGTGGGGCTGGTTC